TTGCCTTTTTCTAGCGACATCGTGATTGTTAACGACCAATCTAACCTCGATTTCTATTCCCAAAATGATCCTCAAATCATACTTAAGTCCGATGAACGCGTTAGCGGAAACGACGGAGAGATTGACAACACCGGTTATAACAGTTCTGGGAGTGAGGAGCCAGTCCTCAAGTGTCAAGGAGCACCAGTAGCAATTAATTTGGACTTTTCAGATTTAGAATCGACACCAGAAGAATCGATTACAACGCTACAAGAGGACGAGATTACAGAAGTATATTTGAGAAGAGGAAAAGTGTTACCCTCAGGGACGTCTCTAATGGAAAAGAAAAAGGGAAACAAGCAGTTGCTTCAAACGAGCCACCTCCACGATGGAAGAGACACAGGTTCGAGAGGAAACTGGAAGTCCAAGTAAAGTGGATTACAACGTACTAGCACATCTGAGGAAGTTGTCAGTCAAACTAAGTATTTTCGATACTCTGATCCTGTCAAAGGAGATGAGAGAATCTCTGGTCAAGGCTCTACTTGATCCGGAAATTTGCTTAGCTCAGTTGGCTAACACATCCTCGGATGAGGTTTGTTCGTTGAAAGACCAACCTGGAGTAACTTTCGCAGATCAGGATTTGTTGCTGGGTACCACTGACCACAATAGACCACTCTACATTTCAGTCAACATCGGCAGGTTTGTGTTATCCAGAGTTTTGGTAGATCCAGGAGCATCACTCAATTTGATGAGTCTACGGACGTTAGCATATTTGGACTTCGACGTTCAGAAGCTCATCCCCGATAAAATGATGTTAAGAGGATTCAATTAGAAAGGAGAGAGAGCTCTTGGGTCGATTACACAACTAATGAAGGTAGGAGAGCTAGTAACAACCGCTAAATTCCATATCATCGACGCGGAAACTTCGTTCAACGCTTTGCTCGATCGGTCGTGCATTCACGTGCATTCACGAGCATTCACTACCAACTCGTTGCGGAGCATTCACGAGCATTCACAATTTCAGGAGGTGCATTCACGATCGGCCGTGCATTCACGAGCATACATCAGTGCATCAAGTATTTTAAAGAAGGACAAGAGAATTGCATCAAAGGGGATTTACAACCGTTTTCGATTCATGAAGTAGGCATCCACGAAGACACCGCCTACTATGTTCCTCCGAAGAAGACAGTCTTTTCTCGAGAAGTTGTACCACATGAGGCTGAAAATTCAAAGGTATCACAAGAGCAAAGCCCCACTTCAACAACCCCCTGCCACTCCTCCGCAACGAGTTGGTAGGGGTTCTTCCACTCCATGGACCCGAGATCTAGGCCGGGGACGCGGGCGAGGAAGAACCAGCACGACTGTTGAATGGACTAAGCCGACCATCAGCATTGATATGGAAGAAAGTTCTGACGAAGGAAAGTCGGATGAAGAAGCAATGATGATGAGACGAAAGAAGCCACAATTTGAAGTTTCTTTGGAAGACGTCAAGAAAAGTGAATATGAGTCGATGTATGATCGGATT